CATTCGCTGGCTGGGGAATTCTGGGAGTTGAAGTCCAGACATCTTCAAGTGGCCAAGGTTGAGAAACACTGTTCTAACCCCTTCTAAAACGGATGATGTTACCAAGTTGGGTAATGAAACGTCTGCAAGAAAACCACCAATCTCAGGGAGCACCAAGGTCCCTAACAGCCCTCCTCCACCTCCACCACCTCCACCTCCTCCTCCTCCTCCTCCTCCTCCTCCCCCTCCCACAACTCTCACTCCCTTCCAGCACTGATGATGTTCCCTAGTTGGGTCATGAAACGTCTTCAGGAAAACAAACAGCACCAATTCAGCTCAACTCAGAAATACAAATATTCAGGGGTGGGGGGGAACCTGTCCTCTGTTTAAAGGTCCCTTCTGCTTCTCCCCCCCCCCCCCAAATTTAGAGCCTGGGGCAGGGAGATGAAAAATGTTCTCCCTACCCAGGGTGACATCAAAGGAATAGGCTGGCCCCGTCACACAATGGGCCCAGAGCTGGGCACAAATCAGCTGGCATCACCTCTTCGGCAAAAAGGGTCTCTTACACCATCCAAAGGGAGAAAAGTGAACATCCCACAGGCTCCTCGGGGGGGCGGGGGGGCTGCAGTCCACAGCAGTCAGCCAGACAGGTTGGGGTCCCCCCCCTTCCCAATCCTAAACTTAACCTTAACCCCCAAAGAGGTTAGGAGGGGGGGGTTTCCCTCCACTTGTGTTTCCATCCGAAATGCATATTTTTTTCCCCCTTTCTTCCACGTTGATCTCTTGGGTGGGGGAGCGAATTGTGGGCTGGGGGAGCAAGGGGAATCTTCCCACCATAGGAGAAGCTGCACCCCAGTTTTTTAAATCTCCCTCCGTCCCTCTCTCCCCAGCCTTCCTTCCAAGCAGAAGGTTCACTCTATAGCAGAAGGAACTCTAGCTGGGATGCGGCTTAGTTGAGCCGAGGTGGCGCAGTGGTTAGGGTGCAGCACTGCAGGCCACTTCAGCTGACTGCTATCTGCAGTTCAGCGGTTCA